GGGGAGATAGGAACATTAAGGTTTGTCCGGGTGACAAGCGGGAGCTCGGTATCCAGGGATGGCGAATTCCAAGCACTGTGTGGCAGAGAGTACTGGTAACAACCTAGAGGTCCAATATAGGAGCTGTCGCACCTAAAGTTTGACTTAAACAAATTCTGATTTTCCTCTACTCATGAATACCTATTTAAACATTCGTAAACATCTCTGAACAAGTATCACAGGTACGCATCTAGTCAGCGGAATTTCCCGGATCACAGAGATTCTTTCTCAGAAACTATCGGAGGCTAAATGTGACTGTCAAGTCCGAGCATTCCCGCCCGCCCCACCCCCGCCCTACCCCGAGAGCTAGTCACAAGACCGCCCAGGCGGTGGAGCCGGCAGTGGGAGTGGCCGGCACGCACGGCCTGAAGTGCTGGTGTCACCTGCCTAGGCCTATGCCATGAGGTTCACCCTCAGCCAAGCCGAGTCATCCTGGCAGTCCGCTCTGGGTCATCATCTGTTTATGCCCTGGTGAACACAGAACACGAATATGCAGTTAATTGGGCACCTGGCCACGTGCTTGTGATTCTGCCGCATTTGTAGAGCCTGTGTTTGAACGTTGTCATCCATCATTTCCTACAGCTGGAATTCCTGACGGATGCTGCGGCTATAGCTTCATTCTAAAACTATTTTTGCTATTTTGAATTGGGGGAGGGGGAGGCAGCTCAGCAGGTAAAGGTGCTTGCTGGCAACCTGAGCTCAGTCCCCGGGACCCAAGTGTTAGGAAAAGAGAGCTTACTAATGAAGTTCAGCCTCTAGCCTCAGTGTGTGCACTGTGACAAGTCTGTGGACACATACACACCCAGGTACACACGAAATAATGGAAATCTAAACAAAATGTAACTTAAAAAAATCAAAGATGGTGTGTCTGAGCAACTAGGGGTTTCTCTTCTATGAAACGAAAACTCCTTTGACTATTATGTCTCATACAAGAACGCTGTTCTGGAAACTGGGAGTTTTCTGTGAGCAAAGCAGAGAACACCCCTGCTGTAGCAGAGTTCACATTCTCATGGAAAAAAGACAAGGAACTAAATGCCAGGTAATGACAGGTGGTATTTAGAAAAAATAAAACAGTGGATGACTAGAGCATGATGCGCTGGTGGGATAGAATGGTCATTAGACAAACTCTCACACACTAGGGCCACAAAGGACCCCCTGTGGCTAGAGCTAAACAAAGGAGTGTGCTAGGAGACAAATCAGAAAAACCCGGGACAAATGAAACGGTGCTTTGAATTGCAAGCTGACAACTTTGGGTTTACCAGAGTGTGATGAGAAGTAAGTGTGTTTTGTTTTGTTTTGTTTTGTTTTGTTTTGTTTTGTTTTGTTTCAAGACAGGGTTTCTCTGTGTAGCCTTGGCTGTCCTGGACTCACTTTGTAGACCAGGCCAGCCTTGAACTCACGGAGATTCACCTGCCTCTGCTTCCCAGGGTGCTGAGATTACAGGCATTCACCACCTCCACCAGGCATAAGTATGGATTTTAAGAAGATACATTTGGACTTTTTTTTTTTTCTTTTCTTTTTTTGTTTTGTTTTGTTTTGTTGAGACAGGGTTTCACTTTGTACTTTTGGCTATCCCAGACTTGCTTTGTATCCCGGACTTGCTTTGTAGACCAGGCTGGCCTCGAGCTCTCTCTATGTAGTCCTGGCTGTCCTGGAACTTGCTCTATAGACCAAAATGACCTTGAACTCAGAGATTTGCTTGCTTCTGCCTCCAGAGTGCAGGAACTAAAGGCATTTGTCACCATACCAGGCTCATTCAGACTTTTTTTTTTTTTTTTTTAAATAAGGCTAACCAGCAAGTGCAGTTCAGTGATGGATCAAGTGCAGGCCCAAACTTAATCTCCAGCACAAGAAAGAAAAAGAGACAGAAAAAAGTTCACTGGGCTGGGGACTGAGTTCCATTGGTTGAGGACGTCCTGCACAAAGCCTTGGGTTCATTCCCCAGAAACACATAAACAAATTTATACCCAGAATCTCCCTTTTTTGTTGTTTGTTTGTGGTTTTGTTTGTATTATGAGACCAGGTTATTCTGTGTAACAGGCCTAGCGGTCCTGGAACTCCCTTTGTAGACCAGGCTGGCCTTGAACTCACTGAGATTCACTTGCCTCTGTGATAGGATTAAAGTTGTGCACCTGGATGCCCAGTTCACCTATTATGTCTGTACATAGGAGGTAGAGGTAGGAGAGTCAGAAATTCAAGGTCATCCTCAGTTACACATTGGTTTGGAAACAAGCCTGGGGTAGAGACCCTGTCTCTAATATATCTATCATGGGCTGGTTAGATGACTCAGCAGGTAAACATATTTGCTACCAAGATTGAGGACCTGCGCTTGGTCCCTGGGACCCATGTGATGAAAAGAACTGAGCCAGGCAGTGGTGACATATGTCTTTAATCACAGCACTCAGGAGGCAGGCAGCTCTCTGTGAGTTCAAGTTCAGCCTGGTCTACAGAAGGAGTTCCAGGACAGCCAGAGTGACACAGAGAAAACCCATCTTGAAAACTCAGGAAAAAAAAAAAAAAAAAAAAGATCTATGTATACTTCTGTGGGGGCAGGGGCAGGGATCCACTGTCCATCAGCTTACAGGCATGTTCCCTGACAGCTATGATGACAAGCAATATCTTTTTGTCTTACTTGCTCACTTGATTTTTTTCAGGTCATCATTCTAATTCTCTAATCTGTCTTGCTATGCGTCCATGTGTCAGTCATTGTGTTTAGGTTTCTTGAATATTCTAAGTGCACTCGATGCCTTGTAGAGGGGGGTGGAGAGCTGAGGAGGTGAGTTGGGAGGAGCAGCAGATAATGAATAGATCCAACCTCACATCAGCAGACCTATAAAACAGACAGGCTGGGCTTAAGATCCTAGAGGCAGAGGCAGGCATGGGCAGTGCAAGGCAGCAGGCACAAAGCCAGGCGGAGCCGAAAGAATGAGAAAAAATGTACAGGTATCCCTGATGAGGTTGAAGGAGAGAACTAAAAATCAACTAGGTAACAGAAATGCTCACCAGCCATGAAGCAGGAGTGTGAACCTGATCCAAGACTCCAAGGAAATACTCCTATGATGGGTAGAAAAGAATTAAGTGTTTCACTTGGGTTTTTATCTGTTTTCTGCTTGTTGACTTTAAACTCTGGATCCTCCTATCTCAGCCTTCCAAGTACTGAGATTCCAGTCATGAGCTACACCCAGCTAAGGCTGAACCATTTTATACTTCTAAATTCTCCCCCCCCCCCCCCACACACACAGGGTTTCTCAGTGTAACAGCCCTGGCTGTCCTAAACTCGCTCTATAGAGAAGGTTGGCCTTGAACTCTCAGACATCCGACAGCCTCTGCCTCCTGAGTTGCTGGGATTGAAGGCTTGCTCCACCATGCCCAGCTACACCTACATTCCTAGTAGTCACCTCCCTCTTTCTCACTGGACTTAGCTACAGTATGTGTTTCCTTCTGTTGAAACTTTGGGAGCAAACATTCTTTACTCACAGAACAACCACCCCAAGGAATCTACATTACATCCAGTGGTTCCAAAATGATCATTTTAGTGGGTTTTGTTTTTTTTTTTTTTTTTTTTACTTTATTTTAAAAAATAGACTTATATTTTCCCTCAATTATTTATTTGTTTGTTTGTTTGTTTTGGTTTTTTTAAATAATTTATTTTATTTTAGGTGTGAAGGTGTCAGATCCCTTGGAGTTGGTGGTACAAACAGTTGTGAGCTGCCACGTGGGTGCTGGGAATTGAACCCGGGTCCTATATTGGAAGAGCAGACAGTGCCCTTAACCACTGAGCCATCTCTCCAGCCCCTTATTTTGGTTTTCTGAGAAAAGTTTTCTCTGTGTAGCCCTGGCTGCCCCAGAACTTACTCTGTAGACAGGCTGGCCTGGAACTCAGAGATCCTGAGTTCTGCCTCCTGAGTAGTAGGATTAAAAGTGTGTGCCACCACCGCCTGACCCCTTCCTTATTCTTTATGTGTGCGGGTGTTTTGCCTACATGTATGTCTATGGACCATGTGTATTTGATGCCCACAGAGGTTGTTGGATCCCCTGTGACTGGAGTTACAGATGGCTGTGAGCCACCATGTGGCTGCTGGGAGTCAAACCTAGATCCAGTGGAAGAGCAGCCTCTCCAGCTCCTTCCTTACCTGTTTTGTCACATTTATTTATTTGTTTGTGTATGTATGCAGATGAATACCGTGTGTACACACATGTGGAGTCAGAGGACAACCTTCTCAGAATTAAGATATATTATTGGTAGGGGCTGGAGAGATGATCCAGTTGTTAAGAGCACTGATTGCTCTTGCAGAGGACCCAGAGGAAGGAGGCTCGAGGGCCAACCCAGGCTACATAGTAAGACCCTACTTCAAAACAGACACTCTTTCTTCCATGTTGAAATATTGGTGTTAGTAAGTATTCACCTAAGTGATCAGCAAAGGCTAACTTCGGTGAGGATAATACCTACACTTACACTTAACAAAGTTCATCAAAGGGGCACATGGTAAATTACCCTCTAACCTTTGAACATCCAGGGAATTGGTGCCCGGTTTTCTGTCTTTCCTTCTATGGGGCATAGCAGAAGCAGCGCTCACAGAACTGTGGCTTTGTTATATGACTGGCTGCTGAACTTAAGTAAGAACCACATTGGAGCTTTTATATCGTGTATCCAGGCTAGGCAGTAGATCGTGCGTGGTTTAATGAAGGGCCGGGGATGAACTCAGGGTTTCCTGCATGGTAGGCCAGCCCTCTACCAACTAAGCTACATCCACCACCCGCACTGAACTCGGGACCTTGGGAAGCACAGCCAGAGCTCTTAACCTCTGAGCCTTCTCAACAGTCCTCACAGTTGTTTCCTTGAAGGGGCCCGCAGGCACCGCATAAAATGCATCTATCTAATCCAAGAACCGCCTCCCGCTAGCCCCACCCCCCCGTGCTTGCTATTGGCTCCTGTGCCGCCGTCGTTGCCGTGGAGACTCGGCGCTGCGGCCCTGCGCTCATGGCGCTGTACCAGCTCTTCTCGCACCCGGTCGAGCGCGGCTACCGCGCGGGGCTCTGCTCCAAGGCCGCGCTCTTCCTGCTGCTGACCACCGCGCTCACCTACATCCCCCCGCTGCTGGTGGCCTTCCGGAGCCACGGTGAGCCTGCCCGGGCCTGGAGGGCCACGCGGCTCGGCGCGGCCCGCTCGCCCCGGCGCGCTCTTCTGAGCTGGCGCCCCAACCCGCCTTGTCTCCCGCAGGGTTTTGGCTGAAGCGGAGCAGCTACGAGGAGCAGCCGAACGTGCGCTTCCAGCACCAGGTGCTGCTCGTGGCCCTGCTGGGGCCCGAGCCCGGAGCCTTCCTCGCCTGGAGCACGTTCCCCACCTTCAACCGGCTGCAGGGGCCTCACCTGCGCGTCCCGCTCGTGTCGGTGCGTGGTTCCGCCGGGGCCCTGGGGGTCAGGATGAGTTCCAGGGGACCCCAGCATGGATCATTGGCGGGGGGGGGAGGGGAGAGGACACAGCGTCTCATGTATCCCAGGCAGGCCTTCAACGTCTGATCCTCCGGCCTCCACCTTCCAGCGCAAGGCCGTGCTCGGGTTTGTAGGGTGCTGGGAACCAAACCCAGGACCTTGTGTGCTTCCATGCGAGCACTTTACCACTGAGCCACGTTCTCAGCCCCACAGCTCGGAGCTCAACTGGCCCCAGGGGTTGGGAACAGACTCTTTGGCCTGCGCATGTTTAACTTTCTAGATAATAGGTGTGTTTTACTCCGCTTCTCCAGGCATCCCTAGAAAGCCAGCCATGCAGTCGGTGTGTTTGTCTGCAAGGGTGCAGGAGCCAGAGCGTTGCCTGCCTTTGGGGCTAGTCAGTCCTTCTGAATGGAGAGGTGTCTGAAAGCCCTTTTAGGGGCTTGAAGGCCAGGCTTTGTAAACTCTGGGACGGCGCCGGGTTAGAGCATCACCACCCTGTAAGGACGGAGAGTGCCTCCGCTTTTATGCAGACTGAGCGTGGGGTAGGGGCGGGGGCAAGCGCTGATTGGTTGAGCTCTCGGCTCGTGCTCTGGCCAAGCCACGCCTCCCGGGGTTGGACTCCCCCACCACCACCACCACTTTGCTCCACACTGCAGCTGTCCCCTATGAAAACTGAAACATTTTACTGTCCGCAGTTTAGTGTTTACTTTCACATAAGTCCAGTGCTTCCTTACAGGCATCCCTTTCCGTTCATATTCTGAAAACACTTTTCCTTTAGACGCGTAGAACATCTGGCTTCCCTACTTTCAAACGTGGATCCTTTCGGACATGGCTGATTATTAGCCTGGAAGGCAAGCTTGTGTAGCTGATGGGGGAGAAAAATCAGACTTTCCCCCCAACAGCTAAATAAGAACTTTAAAATATTAAAGTCTTGTTGGTCATGTGACTAGCAATACACAAAATTTAATTCATATTACTTTGCCCTTTAGTTTTTCATATATATATATATATATATATATATATATATATATATATATATATAGTTTTTCTAATCTCAAAACTGTATGTTCACTGTGAAATATTAAAGAGGTACAGGTTTATGCATGATGACAGAAAAGTAAAGGTTCACTGTGGTTGACACATGGATCAGTACTTGTTAGCCAACGTTATTAGTTTTACGGTCTATCGTTTATTTAATGTCGTCGGCAGAGTAATGGACTTAAGCATTTGTTTTTGTTAGTAAATATTTTGTTTCTAAGCTACACCTGTCATCCCAGCTGCGGCAGGATTGCCCCCCCCCCCTCCCTGGGCTACACAGCAAGCAAAGGCACAGGGTGGAAGTCAAGAGGACAGCTCAGAGGGTTCAGTTCTTTCCTTCCACACCCCAGGGCTCCAGCTGGGATTCCCAGGGTTGGCTGCTAGAGTCTTTACTGCTGAGCTACCCCACTGCCACTCCTTGACTGTTTTTATTTGCTCCATTTTTTCACTAACTAGGATTAATATTTGACCGAATTCTATAGCTTTTTAATTCTTTTTGTTGTTGGTTTTCTGAGACAGGGTTTCAGTTTTGCTTTGTGGCCTTGGCTGTCCTGGATTGGCTTTGTAGACCAGGCTGGCCTCAAACTCACAGTGATCTGCCTGCCTCTGCCTCCAGCTCTCTACATGCATACATACACACATTTGTTGGTTTGTCTTTCCCTAAGACAGGGTTTTTGAGTATACCTCAGATATGGCCCACATTGGCCATGAACTGGTGATCCTCCCGCCTCTAAGTACTGGGATTATAAGAAAGGATGACAATGCCTGGCCCCGTTTTTTAATTCTTGAATCTTTAGTGCAATGGTTCTCAACCTTCCTAATGCTGTGACCCTTTAATACAGTTCCTCCTGTTATGATGATCCCCCAACCATAAAATTATTTTGTTGCTACTTCATAACTGTAATTTTGCTACTGTTATTAATCGTAATGTAAATATCTGGTGTGCAGGATATCTGATATGTGACCCCTGCAAAAGGGTTGTTCCACCTTCCCAAAGTGGTCATGACCCACAGGTTGAGAGTGTGGAGAATAGTAATTGGGTGAGAGGCCAGAATAAAGGAATGCCTGCCTTTTGCTGAGTACTCACTGAACTCCATACTTCTTGTGTTTTCTTTCTGAAAGTGAAAACAGATTTTTTTTTTCAGGCTATAAAAATAGCTCACAAGCTGGGCGTGGTGGTACACAACTATAATCCCAGCACTCAGGAGGCAGAGGCAGGCATATCTATGAGTTTGAGGCTAGCCTGGGCTACAAAGTGAGTCCAGGACAGCCAAGGCTACACAGAGAAACCCTGTCTTGAACAAACTCCTGGATTCAATCCAAACTTCAATTTTAATTCTAAACAAAATAAATCCCAGTTTTAATTTAAGATGGTGATTTGTTTGTTTGTTTGTTTGTTTGTTTGTTTTTTGAGACAAGGTCTCACTACATAGCCCAGACCAAACTCTAACTCACTATGTGACTGTGAGTCCATGACTGACTGCAGTCTCAGCTCTTGGCAGACACAGGCAGGAAGAGCAGGAGCTCAGCCTTTAAGGTCATCATCCTTGGCCACAGATCCAGTTGCAAGCCACCCTGAGCTACATGCCACACAGGCTAGCCACAGACTGAAGATCCACTCGCTTCCACCCCAAAAGTACTGGGTTTGCAGGCAAGCGCCACTACACTTGGCAAACAGTGTGTTTATGTCTTGAGTTTTTGTTTGTTTGTTTGTTTGTTTGTTTGTTTCAAGGCAGGGTTTCTCTTTGTAGCCCTGGCTTTCCTGGAACTCACTCTGTAGACCAGGCTGGCCTGGAACTCACCAAGATCTGCCTAGCTCTGTCTCCCAAGTGCTGGGATAAAAGATGTATGCCACTGCCACCGGGCATGCCTTGAATTTTTGGTGGAAGGCTTTTTCTTTATATTTTTTCCCCTTTACATCTCCATTCTTCTCTCATATACTTCTGGACACTTGAGTCTAAAAAGTAACAGAAAGTTAAATAGACCCCCAAAGCAAGAATAAATATTAGGTAGGCTTCATTCTTTCATTTCTTTTACTTACTCGTTCACTCCCACTGGTCGGTGCCTCAGTGGGCTGCAGTTAGCGTCTTATCTCCAGGAACAGAAGCCGCTCGAGAGAGAGCCAGCACTCCTCATCGCCTTCCTCTGCTTTGGTATGTGGCTCTATTTTCAAATTTAAGAAACCAAAACTAATTCTTTAATACTGGGCAGATGAGCTGTGTTTTGTGTTGTTGTTTTGTTTGCAGTGGTGGGGCTCTCCCCTAAGGCCTTAAATGTGCTAGGCAAGCACTCTGCCACTACAGCCCCAGCCTGGATAAATGTACACAGCTAGGAAAACAGCTAGGCCCTAGGCTAGAGGTATTGTACACACACACACACTTCACTGTAAAAACTACTAGGTGGTGGCTGATGTCTGTAATCACAACACTTGGTGGGCTAAAGTATGAAGGTCATCATAAATTTAGGGCTAGCTTGGGCTACACAGTAAGTTACAATTCAGGTAGGGCTAAAGTGAGACTCTCCCTGCCTTAAATGAAGTGAAACACAACTCCTTTTCCTAAATCTCTCCTTCAAATCAATTTTCAAAAGTTAATTTATTATTTTTTTGTGTCCGTGAGTATTTTGTTTTGCCTGGTTGTGTACCATGTGGATGCAGTGCCCTTGGAAGCTAAAAGAAGGTTTTGGATCCCTGGAACTGGAGTTTATAGATGATTGTAGGCCACCGTGTGTGCTGGAGATCAAATCCTCTGGAAGAGCAGCCAGTGCTCTTAACCAATAAGCCATCTCTCTAGGCTCCCTCCCCCATCTCTTTTCATCACTTATTCATAATCCCGTTCAGTAAATTATTTGCTTCCTTTCTGGTTGAGTGTGTGGCTTGGGAATAGTTTTTAAAATGTACTTAAAAATTCATCACTGGTGCCAATGGTGGTGTAGTACATCTTTAATCCCAGCACTTGGGAGGCAGAGAGAGACAGGCCCATCTCTATGAGTTCAAGAGAACTGTTCTACAAAGCGAATTCCAGGACAGCCAAGGCTACACAGAGAAACCCTGTCTCGAAAACAAAGCAAAGCAAAACAAAAAAGTTGATCTCTGGTTCTGGAGGGATGGCTCAGTGGCTGAGAGTGCTTCTGCAGTTCCCAGCATCTGTCTTGAGCAGTTAACCACCACCTGTAGTTCCAGTTTCAGGGCATCTGATGCACGCTTGGCCTCTGCAGGAATCCGCACACGTGTGCAAACACATACAGAGACACATAGACACATACACATGAAGAAAAATAAATATTTTAAAATGAATTAACAACTCTCAGTATGACAAAAAAAATTAGGAGACACCCTATAAAATATTTTTTTAATCTAGAAAGTATCAATAAAAACACGAAAAAAAATCCAAAGAAACCATAGAAAATCGGGTAAATATAAATAAAATATATATAAATATAAATAAAATGGTAGTCATTCTGAAAAACAGTTAAGCAGTTTAGCAATTCTTCAAGAGTTAAACTTCTTTTTCTTTTCTTTTTTGGAGACAGGGTTTCTCTATGTAGCCTTGGCTATCTTGGACCTGCTTTGTAGACCAGACTAGCCTCAAACTCACAGAGATCTGCCTGCCTCTGCCTCCCAGAGTCTTGGGATTAAAGGTGTGCACCACCACACCCAGCTTAAAAGTTAAACTTAACAGTACCATATAACCCAACATTTAGTAGATTAAATAAAATCTACTATTACATATTATATATATCTATACACACATACATATATGTCCATGCTTTGTGAGTGGTGTTTTTATGGTATATGCACCTGTGTGCATGCACAGAGACCATTGGTGTCTTGATTTATCACCCTCTACCTTATTCTCTTGAGACTGGAGTTTCTTTCTGAGCCCGGATATAGGTTAGGAAGCCCCGGAGAGCCTCTTATC